CAGCAACCTCCAACTCCTGGGCTCAAGCGAGTCTCCTGCCTCAGTCTCCCAAGTAGCTGGGACCACAGGCACCTGCCACAACGCCCGGCTATTTTTTTTTCGGTTGCAGCCATTGTTGTTGTTTGGTGGGCCCGGGCTGGATTCGAACCCGCCACCTTGGGTGTATGTGGCTGTTGCCTTAGCCACTTGAGCCACAGGCGCCGAGCCTCCTCAAACTTTTTAAACGGGGCCAGTTCACTGTCCCTCAGACCGTTGGAGGGCCAGACTGCAGGCCCTGGGATGAATCGGCTGCTAAGCAGGACAGGCAGCAGTGGCAAAAACACCCGGCGGGCCGGATAAATGTCTTAAGTAGGCTTCATGTGGCCCACAGGCCATAGTTTGAGGACGCCTGCTAGTCTAGACTTGGCACAGGGAAAACTTGTTCCTTTATTGCTCTTCGAAGTTGTTTAATCCTTTATCCTCAATCACCTGCAGTCTTAAACTCACCTGCAGTGAGTGTAAGTCTTTGAAAAGATCACAGAACTTTGTCTTGAAATCAGAGTAGAATTCATTTTATTGATAATGGGAAACCTTCTTGAGAGGCACTTGACACGGAATTGCTTTCTAGCCTCTTAGAATTGAATTGAAAAAGAGCATAAGAAAGCACAGTCAAATGCACAGAGGTTTTGCTCATGGTTAGGTTGCCACAAGCTTTATGATTGTTTCTCTGTGGTGATTTATCATGGTAATAACTTTAGCAGTCCTGATGTGTCTGTGTGAAGTAATGAATTTGCAGTTGCATCACAGAAATGTAGCTCTGTAATAAGCATTCATTCTCCTTACTGCTTGTTCCTTTAGAATACACGACAATTTTAGGAATGTGTAGTAGATTTGTATTGTGGAAATTTAGTAAGTCCCTCACCCCACAGCTGCTGCTGGTTGTGGAAGGGATCTGTGAGGAAATTCATCCCTTCAGCTCTCACATCAGCATGTCACAGCAGAGCCATGTTGTGGCTGCTCTCCCAGGTGTGGCTGTTCTCCCAGGTATGGCTCAGAGTGGTCTTACATGTGTGTCCCTGTGGCAGACTTTGGGCAGACTGGACCACGCAGAGCTAACTGAGGTGGGGAAGCAGGCATACTGGTGAATAGAGTCATTTGTTGCTGGGTCTATGATAGGATTTTCAGTTAATTCATGTGGACTCTGCTGCCTATAGGCTTGTCAGGATGAACTACAGCCACGTCTAAAATGCCATCCCCTATTAATTGGTATGTGTTAGTGAATTTATAATTTCTAATGTTCATCTAGAAGATGAATGGATTCTACTTGGAAAACAAATGTGTGCTTCAAAAAATGCATATTTCAAAATCCTGGATGTTTCCTGGGAGGGACATTCTTTGCATTGTTGTGCTGTGAATATGTATTTAAAATGTCATTGCTGTCCAGTTCACCCAAAAGGAGCTGTGCCCAGCTGCATGCAGGCTCATATGTTGTCAGTGCCCTGCTTGGCTGGTGAACGGGCTTGATGATGGTCTCAGTAAGAGTTCACACAGATGGTGCCTACTATGTGCTGGGCCTTTGAGCTGTGGCTCATAGTCCCAAACTCACAAAGTCCTCACAACAAGCCAAACAGACAAAGAGGCACAGAGAGGTTGGTTAACCTGCCTGAGGCTACACAGCTAGAAAGTGGGATTCAAGCTAGGCAGGCTGTTAGGGGGGTCTCTGCTCCCCTGGTGCAAGTTTCACCTGCCCGTCACAGTGGGTACACTCAGAGCAATGTTATCCTTGTCACAGTCTTATTTATGGGTGTATTGACTTATTGTCATTGTTATTTCCTTAAACCTGTCTGGAAATGTGGTAAAGCTATGTTGACTGAGCTTCCAGATACACACAGTTCAGTAGAGAGTGTGGTGTGGTGTCTGCAAGGGCAGCAAAAAGTTAAGAGTTTTCCTCCCATGTAGTTGGACGCTGAATGGAGCAGGACCATGGTCCCTGGTGGTCATTTCTTTCCTGGGGAAGCCTCGGACACAGCGGAATTGCTGACAAGATTAGGTCAAGCAAACATGAGAGGGTTCGTACTTTTAGAGGCCACGTCTTAGGATAGGTCTGGAAGTCAGAGAGCATGTGAGCACCTCGGTGCTTCTGGAAGCCCTGAATCCTCCCCTCCCAGGAAACAGACCTCTTGGGCAACTCTGATTAACCAGCAATATTGGGGGGACCAAGCCAAGGCAGGGTGACTACAGGGAACATTTTGAGAGCAAGAATTACTATTCCTAAACTGGAATATCTCTCTAAATGGAGATTTAGAGTCTGTCCTACCTAAATATTCCAGTTACTTTACAGTCCAAATGGACTGTTGAAAACCGTCATGCTCTCTCTGTTGCCAGCAAGGCTATAAAGCTGCAATCTACTTTTTTGGGGGTGTGGGGCAGTAATTTGAGTTGTGCTAACTACTCCTCTATTAGCAAGGTTAAACTTTAAAAAATGAAAATTCGACTACTTGAAGTCTGTGTGTAGCATACAGTTCTCTGCCTGCCTGCCCTGGGTCTGTTTTCCACGCACTTGGGTCTTGCCATGCCCCTTGGTGCTTCAGACTCCTGTGTGACTAGCCCTCGCCTAAGAACACAGCAGTTTAAACTTTTATTGTCGTTTCAAGATCCTTTTTCTCCCCCATAGTTCTTGTGCAGGGTACTGAGGCCCCCACACACCCTTGTCCCTCTGGGGTACTGCCTGGCTAATTTCTGTGTCCTTGGAGACTCCTCAGGTGTCACTGCCTCCAGGAAACTTTCCATGTCCCCACCCCCAGGCCCGAAGACCTGTTCTTTGCCCCCATAAGCAGCGTGTGAGTCTCTGTCACTATATTTATTGTCCGGTAAAAAGAGAAAGCTCTATAAATATTTTCTGGGTGAAAGAATAAATGAGTAAGGACACAAAAAGCAAGTGTTCTATAATCTCTCTCCATGGATTATTGTAGACACATTTGAGTTCCCCAAGAGTCCAGAGACACTGAAGGTGACACCTTAGAGCTCAAGAATGAGTATTAAGGCAGCCAGAAAGTATCACATCTGATCCATCCAGTGGTCAAGGTGCCCTAGGGTATGCGCCTATACTTTTTTCTTTTCTTTCTTTCTTTCCCTTTTTTTTTTTTTTTTTTGTGACAGAGTCTCATTCTCACCCTGGTTAGAGTGCAGTGGCCTCAGCCTACCTCACAGCAACCTCCAACTCCTGGGCTCAAGTGATCTTCCTGCCTTAGTCTCCTGAGTAGCTGGGACTATAGGTGCCCACTACAACACGTGACTAGTTTTTCTATTTTTAGTAGAGACAGGGTCTCACTCTTTCTCAGGCTGGCCTTGAACTCCTAAGTTTAAGGGATCAGCCTCCTGGAGTGCTGGGAGCCACTGCACTCAGCCCACATTTAAACTTGTACTATTTAAAACCATAATGCAATGTAGTAACACCACATGCCTCCTCTCTTCACTTATCAGCCTAGGAGTGCTCTATATCTAGGGGACAGCACAGCTAGGTGGTCTTTAGACTGTGACAGGCCCCATCTGTGCACTTGTTGTGCCCACCCCGGGGGTCGCCTACCCAAAGACCACTCACAATCACAAATCGATGCAAAAAGCAAGAGGCAGGTTTATTGCTGGCGCGTCGGGGTTCCTCAGTCACAAGGGGGAAGGAACCCCGAGAGGCTGTTACAAGCTGCTTTTAAAGCGAAAAACTACATGCAGGGGGGGTGAGGGGGCGTTAGGGTATGAGGCGGTTGGTGATTGGGGAATTCATAACTTGCAGGGTTGCTGGGCAGTTTTGCTCTGGGGACTTTTTGCGACGGTTATTTTTAGCGCGGGTATGAGGGAGTAGGGAGAGGGTAGGGTGTTGCCTCCAGGTGCAAGAGTCTGATATGCGGGTAGAATGTTTTCATTGTTTTAGGGCCTCCTTACTGCCCTGTGGCCTAACACACTCTGGGAGGGCAGGGGCCCTGATGACCTCCCTAGTTGCTGTGTCCAGGTTTTCTCACAAAGCTGATCTTCACTGAATACTTGCTGAGCTCATAGTGAGGTCTATGCCCACATCAAAAACAGTGTCAGGGGCTCAGCACCTGTAGCTCAAGTGGCTAAGGCACTACCCATATACACCAGAGCTGGCGGGTTCAAATCCAGCCCAGGCCTGCCAAACAACAATGACAACCACAACCAAAGAATGGCACCTGTAGTCCCAGCTACTTGGAAGGCTGAGGCAGTAGAATCACTTAAGCCCGGGAGTTGGAGGTTGCTATGAGCTGTGATGCCACAACACTCTACCCGGGATGACAGCTTGAGGCTCTGTCTCAAAAAACAAAAAAACCCCAAAACAGTGTCAGGGAAAGGTTTGTCTAAAAGTCAAACTCTTATTTTCATCAGACAAACTTAAGAGCAGTTAGTAAATCAGTAAAATGTGCTTCTGTTTAAAAATTGTTTTCCTCAGTGCTTATCATTTATCCTAATGAATAAAGTAGTTAATGTAGTGAATTTTGTTTTTTATGAGTTCATGAATTACTTACCAAGAAGGTCAATGTAGCAGTCGTATTCTGTGTACTGATAACCTCAGACTAATAAGGCCAGGGCCTCCGCAGAGTCACACTGAGAAGGAGAAACGCCAGCTCATAGCTGGGGTGTGGAAACTGCTGTTCTCCTCTTTGGTGGACATTGATCTTGTATTTGCTATTCATCGGTAGTGCACGTATATACCTTTTTAGGTGAGGGGTGAAGTGTGGATTTGCCTTTGATTTAAACACAAGGATTTAAACACAAGGATAATACAGTGATATTTTCAGAGACGCTTTTGGATGGTTCTTTTATTACAATTTCTTTCTTTCTAAGGGCATACCTCAGCTACCATGTGCCAAAGCATTATACAACTATGAAGGGAAAGAGCCTGGAGACCTTAAATTCAGCAAAGGAGACATCGTCATCTTGCGCCGGCAGGTGGATGAAAACTGGTACCATGGAGAAGTCAATGGGATCCATGGCTTTTTCCCTACCAACTTCGTGCAGATTATCAAACCGTTACCTCAGCCCCCACCTCAGTGCAAAGCCCTCTATGACTTCGAAGTGAAAGACAGGGAAGCGGACAAAGACTGCCTTCCTTTCTCAAAGGTACAGTTGGAGCTGACTGGATTCCTGGCAATATGGCTTGTGTTTCCTTTTGCAAAGAGGTACGGGAGTTCTGTGTGAGCTACTGCACTGTGCTTCTAAAAATACCTACACGCAGTCTTTAAGGCACAAGGGACGAGATTTTGTGTGCAGAATTCTTACATGAAAATAGTTTGGCTAACACTCTGTGTGGTGTCACTTTCACATTTAGAGCCTAAATTTATTTCTAAGCTATTTTAAAGGGTGTGTGTAGCACTCAGGGATTTTAAAGTACTGAGTTATGAATGACAAAATGAAACATCATGACTTCCTTATTTTACATGTAAATTTCTTTGCTTTAAAGCACACAGGAATATATTTCCTGATTTGATAAAACGGTTCAAAGTTTTAAGGAGAATATTGTGTTTTTTTGGTAGAGAGCAGTGGGATATGCATGTGAATGGGCATTTGGTGTATTATCAGAGAGAAAGTGAGGAGCATCTTGAGAATCAGTCTCAAACACCTGGTGCCAGGAGTGTCCTGTTCCAGGTCACTGGTGGGATTAGGAGGCGGCAGCATTTCAGGTCCCAACTTGCAGATCTAGACAAAAGCAACAGCCAGCCCCTTTGTGGAAGGAGCCCATGGCCTCACAGCTGTCTGAAAGGATGCTAGGTGGACTGGTAGCTGCATCTAGTGCATGAGAATGCAGAATTCATGTGCTAAAGCAGTGATTCTCAACCTTCCTAATGCCTCCTAATGCTGCGACCCTTTCATACAGCTCCTTATGTTGTGGTGACCCCCAACCATAAAATTATTTTCATTGCTACTTCATAATTGTAATTTTGCTACTATTGTGAATCATAAGGTAAATATCTGATATGCAGGATGTATTTTCATTGTTACAGAGGGGTTGCGACCCACAGGTTAAGAACTGCTATGCTAAAGGGATGTCATAGCTCTTTAACTCACACCCTCCAAAACCTGAGTCTTCTTACTGAAAAGGACAAGTAAATGTAAGCTCAACAGAAGCAGATGAACTAATAACTTCCCATTCATCCCTTCAGGATGACATCCTGACTGTGATCCGCAGGGTGGATGAAAACTGGGCTGAAGGGATGCTGGCAGACAAGATAGGCATATTTCCAATTTCATACGTCGAGGTGAGTTAATCCCTAGAAACTTGGTTCATGTTAGTCTTCAGCTAAGTAAAGAAATCTCAGTCATAATCTGAGGGTTAAAAAGTCCTTTACAACACATGGTGCCAGGAGTGTCCTGTTCCAAGTCACAGGGGGGATTAGGAGGAACTCTCTGTCCTGGGCTTGTGAAAGTTTTCAGTGCTTCCCTTTACCTCCCTGCTATGAGCACCCCATATCCCTTGCAGTGCCCTTCTGCCTGCTGCTGGTCACCCACACTGTCTCCAGGGTCTCTGTCCCATCTGCCAGCCTTCGGAGCAGAAAGCTGACCAAGTTCCTAAGCAAGGTGGGGGATCAGTGTGTGTGTTTATTGGTTTTTACTTCTTTTGTTGTCTGAACCCGAGAGTGGCCTGCAGAGTAGGTCTACACTAAACATTTAAGTAAGTGACTGAATCTCCCTCCAGCCCAGCCCAGCCACCTTTATACTCTGCTTTATTCAGAAAGCTCATGGCCAAGCTTGACATAGTGTGGTCTCTTAAGAGAACATGTATAGGTGGCTCACGCCTGTAATCCCAGCACTCTTAAAGGCTGAGGCAGGAGGATCCCTTGAGCTCAGGAGTTTGAGAGCAGCCTGAGCAAGAGTGAGACCCCATTTCCACTAAAATTAGAAAAACTAGTGTGGTGGCTTCAGCTACTCAGGAGGCTAAGGCAGGAAGATCTCTTAAGCCTCTTAAGTTTGAGTTTTCTGTGAGCTATGATGATGTCACAGCACTGTACCCAGGATGACAGAGTGAGACTCTGTCTCAGGGAGAAAAAAAAAGAGAGAGACATTGTCTAAAGTAATATTGCTGTATTATTTAAAGAAAATAACACTAGTTAAAAATGAACTAAGAAGTTATAATTTACAGTTACCTTCTTTGTATCATTGTCCTAAACTAAATGTCCTTTAGGTAAGAGTTTGTTGCTGAAAACAAAATAGAAGGCATTTTCAAAGGAAGAAGCAGAGCCCAACAGCAATATGAGTTACTTGAGGTCACAGAAGACTTCTGGGAAGAAGTGAGGCCATAGGCTCGGCGCCTGTGGCTCAAGCAGCTAAGGCGCCAGCCACATACACCTGAGCTGGTGGGTTCGAATCCAGCCCGGGCCCGCCAAACAGCAATGATGGCTGCAACCAAAAAATAGCTAGGCGCTATGGCGGATGCCTGTAGTCCCAGCTACTTGGGAGGTGGAGGCAGGAGACTCACTTGAGCCTAGGAGTTGGAGGTTGCTGTGAGCTGTGATGCCATAGCACTCTACCCAGGGGGACAGCTTGAGGCTCTGTTTTAAAAAAAAAAAAGAAGTGAGGCCATAGTGGATTACTGTGTGATGGGTAAATAGGATTAACCCAGAGAAATGGAAAAGGTGTATTTTATGGCAGGAAGAACATCCAGACAGGAGACCAGCATGTGCAAAAGCCTGAAATAAGAAAGAGCACAGATTGTTTGAGAAATAGAAAGTAATTCTGTTGTTTAAAACATCAAAGAATACACATCTTAAGCTTGTAAAAATGAAAAACTACCATCATTATTTTGCCATCTTTTTATCTGAGACATTTGTTTTGGCATGATTCTGAAACCCAAAATGACAAATTGTCATTGTAGCCAGCACTTAATTTCCGCTGTACACAGTGAGGTTGCCAAAGTCTTCATAAAAAAAAATCACTTTTGACTACTATATATCCATGGGAAAGTAATTCATAACATGTATGAGTCTAAAATTTTATCCATACCCTTCATATGTTCCTGTATATTGAAATAATTTTTTCTTCCTTTGAAAGTAAACAATAGAAAAAAATATCCTTAGGCAGTCCTTCCTGCACATGCTGTGTATGTTCTAACTTTGGGTCATGGAAAATTGCAAGTGTTTCCAAGATGTGAATAGTTACACCTAAGGGTGTGGGGAAGCACAAGATTAGTAATGGAAGCCTGTCATTACTTGTTAGGTATCATCAACATCACATGCTGATACCGGGTCTGTGATGCGTGAAAAAGGATTGCTGTGTTTCTGTATCTTTGTGCAGATGGGCATAAAAGATCCACCCAGGGCAAGTCCAGAGTCACTCCGACTCATTAAAATTATTTACTCTGACTCAAGGTAGAAAGATTGACTTCTGCCCAAGCGTGGAAAGTCTTATTCTTCTGCCTCTTTTCTTTCAAGCATCAAATGAGCATTTTCCTTGTTTGAACCAGAATTTTATATAAGAAGAGGTACAGGAAGGATCACCTGAGAATTAAGGATATTGTTTTCTATTGCTACCATTTGAGATATGGTAAACAAACTACTCATCTTTAGGAGCCTATAAGCCTTTGACATCAGGAGCAGTGAGGTTCCTGGTGGGGAGCAGAATATTTAGGCATTTGTGGTTTAGTCCTTAGGGAATAAAGTAGAGGCAGATTTCAGTCACAACCTATGAAAATTCGATAATTTCTTTTTTTTTTTTATTTTTTTTGAGACAGAGCCTCAAGCTGTCCCCCTGGGTAGAGTGCTGTGGCATCACAGCTCACAGCAACCTCCAACTCCTGGGCTCAAGCGAGTCTCTTGCCTCCGCCTCCCAAGTAGCTGGGACCACAGGCGCCCGCCACAATGCCTGGCTATTTTTTGGTTGCAGCCGTCATTGTTGTTTGGCAGGTCCGGGCTGGGGATTCGAACCCGCCACCTTAGGTGTATGTGGCTGGTGCCTTAGCTGGTTGAGCTATAGGCGCCGAGCTGAAAATTCGATAATTTCAATAGACTACCTTACGGGAAACCCTCAGATGGGGTAAAGCAAACTAGGAATCAAAAACTGAGACTTTTTCCTGAGTAATGTCTTTCTCTCATTCTGTACCCTGTTTCATATTTGGCCAATTTTAGGGCCCAGTCTCTAATATAAAAACAGCCTTGTTACAAAAATTCACTTGTAAATAATCTTTATTTATTTATTTATTTTTTTGAGATAGAGTCTCACTATGTTATCCTGGGTAGAGTGCTGTGGCATCACAGCTCACAGCAACCTCAAACTTTTGAGCTTAAGCAATCCTCTTACCTTAGCCTCCCAAGTAGCTGGGACTACAGGCGCCCCCCACAATGCCCAGTTATTTTTTTGTTGCAGTTTTCATTGTTGTTTTAGCTGGCCTGGGCTGGGTTTGAACCCTCCAGCCTCGGTGTATGTGGCTGGCGCCCTATCAACTGAGCTATAGGTACCACCAAGTAAATAATCTTCTTATATCTTATAAACATTTCCATTTCCATCAGTGTTAGGTGATTTTGCTTTTTATTTTAACTGTGCTGCCAAACTGTTACCTGCCAGAAGTTTTGAGAAAATGGAATGAGATGCTGTGTCTTGGGTCTGAGACCACTGTGCATGAGACCTCAGATTGGGTCATGGCCCAGAGCAGGCCAGAGTATGAAAATAGTCTAGCACAGTAGTTAACAAATGAAAGGACCTTACCACCACACATGATAAAGGAAACCGAAACTCCTCCTGGTTGGTTTGCTTTGGCAATGGAAATGCCCAACGATCTTGACTGTGGGAGAAACTCTGAACAGATGGTCCTGGGTGTGGGATTGAGGATCTGGGGTAAATCACCAGGCCAGAGGTTCAGTGTGGAGCTGTGGATTAACTTGCAAGGGGCTAAACGTTGGAGGTGGATAAAGAGAGGAGAGAGCAGGATGGAGGAGGTAAGAGGTACTGCAGGGGCAGTTGGCTCACCCTTTCTTCTTCACTCATCCTCTTCTCCCTCAGCCCCTATAATGGGGACACAGACCTACACTGATGTCAGGCAATAAAATATGGTGGTAGTATGTTCACTTGCAAACACATCTCCTCTTACCAAAGCAAAACAGCTTACTTACTAAAGTAAAACACAAAATTCTTTAAGGCCTGAATAGAGAAAGAGAATCTAGCTGGGGGAAGTGAATAAAGGAAAGAATGGCTATATAAATGGCCTAAATTACATCCCCTGGGGTCCTTGTCTAGCTCTTAAGATAGAGTCTCTTGCTATGGTTCTCTCATCAGACCCCCCAGTCAAGCCTTAAAGCTGGTGGGTTCTATTCTGCTTGGACAGTGCATCCTTCACTTCAGCAAACTTGAAAGTAGTAAAGGTTAAGAGTTTTGTGGGGAAATCCAAGTGATATGTATAAGAGGCTATTTTTATTAAAGGCTAAATGCAGTTAAAAAAGAATTAACAGCCTGTTTTTTTCTTTGGTCAAGAACACCAGTTTTCTGTAAAATAGAATGGAAGATTTTAACCCCATTAATTTGGAGCTGACTCATGAAAGTTTAACAGTCATTTGGACAAGGATGACATGATTCTTAGCAAACAAAAGGTCTGAATAGAGTAAGAGCTGAATATGATGATTTTTGAGGTTTTTCAGACATAGTTGTATATCGTAGGCTTGTGGTGAACTATAAGTTGTTTTTTTGTTTTGAGACAAAGTCTCACTGCTACCCTCAGTAGAGTGCCATGGCGTCATAGCTCACAGCAATCTCAGACTCCTGGGTTCAAGTGATCCTCTTGTCTCAGCTTTCCAAGTAGTTGAGACTACAGGCATCCATCACAATGCCTGGCTATTTTTAGAGACCGGGTCTGATTCTGGCTCAGGCTGGTCTGAACTCCTGAGCTGAAGCAATCTACCTGCCTCACCCTCCCAGAGTGTAGTGTGAGCAACCAAGCCCCGCTGAACTATAAATTTTTACTAAGTTTCTCAATTTATTTTGATTCCTCATCATTTGTTTGAAACATCACACACTCATTTTCCCAACAAGAAAAAGTTTTTTGCAGGGCTGGGTACCATGGCTCATCCCTGTAATCCTAGTAAGACTATGTCAGAAAAACCTCAAAAATCATCATATTCAGCTCTTACTCTATTCAGACCTTTTGTTTGCTAAGAATCGTGTCATCTTTGTCCAAATGACTGTTAAACTTTCATGAGTCAGCTCCAAATTAATGGGGTTAAAATCAGAGGCCAAGGCTCAGCGCCTATAGCTCAACCGGCTAAGGCAAGAGCCA